ATTAGAAAGATCAGACACCATGACCAAGTGGGATTTATTCCACAGATTCAAAACTAGTACAATATTTGCCAATTAATACAGATACATCATATAAACAAATTGAAAGACAAAAATCATCTGATCATATCAATTGACAGAGAAAAAGCATTCAACAAAACCCAACACCCTTTTTTGATTAAAAAAAAAAAAAAACACCTCTCAGCAAAGCAGGAGTAGAAAGAACATACCGCAACATAATAAAGACCATATGTGACAAACCTACAGCCAACATCATACTCAATGGGCAAAAACTAAAATCATTTCCCCTAAGAACACGAACAAGACAGGGATGCCCACTTTCACCACTCCTGTTTGACACAGTACTGGAAATGCTAGCCATAGCAATCAGACAAGAAAAAGAAATAAAAGGCATCCAAATTGGAAAAGAAAACTGTCATTATTTGCAGATGACATGATATTATACATAGAAAACCCTAAAGACGCCATAAAAACATGAATTTGGCAATGTAGTAGGATACAAAATTAACATCCAGAAATCTATGGCTTTTTTAATACACCAATAATGAACTCACAGAAAGAGAAACTAAAAAAAAAATCCCATTTACCATTGTAAGAAAAAAATTTAGATACCTAGGAATAAACTTAACTAAGGACGGAAAAGACCTATACTTGGAAAACTACAGGATGTTGAAAAAAGAGATAGAGGAAAACATAAACAAATGGAAGAATATACCATGTTCATGGATTGGTAGAATCAACATCATTAAAATGTCCAAACTACCCAAAACAATCTATAGATTCAATTAAACCCCCATTAAAATACCAACTGCATATTTCACAGTCCTACAACAAACTCTCCAAAAATTCATATGGGATAAAAAAAAAAAAAAAGACCCTGAATAGCCGCAGCAACCCTGAGAAAGGAGAACAAAGTTGGAGGGTCACAGAATCAGACATTAAGCTATATTACAAAGCCACTGGTATCAAAATGGCTGGCACAGGCACAGGAACAGATATATAGACCAATGGAAAAGAACAGAGAATTCAGAAATCAATCCAAGTCATTATGCTCAATTAATATCTGACAAAGGAGGCAAAAACATACAATGGAGTCAAGACAGTTGCTTCAATAAATGGTGTTAGGAAAATTGGACAGATACATGAAAAAAAATGAAACTAGAACACCACCTTACACCATACACAAAACTAAGCTCAAAATGGATAAAGGGCTTAAACATAAGATGGGAAACCATAAAAATCATAGTAGCCGTAAGCAGCAAAATAGCAGAGAGCAGTCATAGCAATATCTTACCGATACAGCTCCTAGGGCAATGGAAACTAAGGAGAAAATAAGCAAATGGGACTTCATCAAAATAAAAAGCTTCTGCACAGCAAAAGAAACCATCAACAAAACAAGAGAGCCCTCTGCATGGGAGAATATATTTGCCAATGCTATCTCAGGTAAGGGTTTAATCTCCAAAATTCACAGGGAACTCATACAATTTAACAAAAGAAAAATAAACAATCCAATAAAAAAATGTACAAAGGACCTAAATAGACACTTTTCAAAAGAGGACATACATAAGGCCAAGAGACATATGAAATCA